GTTTGGGATAGAAGTAACACCATCACGCCACATATCTACGAGAAGTAACCCTACTCATATCATCAAATGCTTTTTGTGTTTTTGTCCATATATTATAAATAAGAGGTGAGCACTTGTGGGTTGTATAACACATTAGGTGTCACAACCTGAAAAGAGCCTGGACAACAAAAGCCGAGATAACATGAGAGTCTTCTCTGACCTTGAACAAGAGTGGAGTGAGATCCAAAATGTCTCCCAAAATGACCCGCGCTAATGATCCCTCACCCTAATGCAGAGCTTAAGCTTATGACATTAAAATGGGATAACAAGTAGTATGTTACTCGGAACTAAAAGATCATCAAATTTTATCTGCTTGAATAAGCAGGTCATTTGTGTTATTTGATATAGCTATTTGATCCCACTATATATACAAAGTATACCATCACATCGCTGGAAGGATTATGGAAACCAAAAATCTTGGAANACCCTTGGATCCTAAATGTGTATACAATAGAAGTTATATTGTGTCTTAAATGCGAGAGCTCATACCACTTTTCAGCCCTCACAAAGACAAGGCACCTCTTGCCCCTCCTGCNTGATGAGGATGCTATTACACCTATTATGAAAGACCAACTGATAGAGGTGTTTCNTGACTAGTAAAAGCACAATNCAATTCTTCACTTAATAATGAATCGNCAAAAAANCACTTCAGAGTTTACCTCTAATCTCTATGTTGCCATTCTGTGAAGGATCCCCTTTGGTGTTAGACATGCACTTATAGTTTTCCAATTGCTATAGAATTGTGTAACCAATTGGATGGGAAAGCCAACCTTTTTGAAGGTCTAACTATACAGCACTTAAGAGGGATGTTGGTCTTGATATTTCCTCTTTTCTCTGCCCCGTGTCTTGTTCAAATGTTTCTTTGCTAGAGTTTTAGTGCATTGCCTTTTGGATGGAAAATCCACTATNCTAACCTATGTGATTCTTCCTTTCTTTTTTTGACACACAATTTGGAAGGTAAAAGAGATGCCAAAGTGATTCCTTCTTTAAGATTATATGCATTTTAAGATTATNTGCATGATACGTCTTACAAGTTACCTATTCTTTAATCAAAATCTGCATCTAGTATATATATGTATGAGGTTATGTGTTTGCATTTCTTCATGGCAACATCTTTGTTGTGGTCTTATTTAGAATTTGAAGAGTAGTTAACTTAGAGCTTGATGTGTGGTGGTCTTCGCCTAAATTTCCTCTTCATGTTTATGTACGTATACATTTTTTTTTTACGTCTGGATTCTGATTTTTCTTACTTCAAGTTCATGCAATCCCTCTTGTGACATAAATACTAAGGGAGAAATAATTATTACGTCCTTTGTTTTCTTTGACTTCTTACAAGAAATCAAAACATTATGCACG